CAAAAGGCGTGGGACTGGAGGCGGCGGGGAAGCGGTCGCCGGGTCCAGTTATTCGTCACCGGCCCCGCTGGCAGTGCCCCTACCGGCGACTGGGGAGCACGACGTCGAGAGGCGAGGCTCCCCCGGAAGGGGGCGCTCCTGCCCTGACCCATCTCCCAGGAAGGAGCTGTCTCTTTCCCTTGATCAGCTGTGCTTGGAGGGAATTTCAGTTGTGTAACTGGCCCAGCTACCTAGTTCTCTGTGCCTCCTTGCCTTGCCCCTCACGGGGACGGTGAGAACACCTACCTCCTTGGAACGAGGTGACAATTCCAATGAGATGCCTTAGACGGTGCTGGCAGGTGAAAAGCACCATTAAATGTTCACTACTGTCACACTGGACCCTGTTCCCCACCCGTCCCCCATCCCAGCTATGGCCGCCCCTGGCCTGTGGCTCCTACTCTTCCCCAGCTCCAAAGCCAGCAACCCTAGGCCCCGCTGATTGGACAAGGCAGGAGCTGGAGGAGAGCTGTCCCTGTCCCTCTGACCCGCGCTACCTCCTGGAGAAGATGAGCAGCCATGGCCCAAGGCAGAGTGCCCTGCTGGGACCTGGGAGGTGGGCGTGGGCAGGAGTCGGGGCTAACAGGAAGGGACCTCGCCAGGCCTTGGGGGCCCTGACACAGGCCCAGCTGGAGGGGGCAGGGCCCAGTTCAGCATTGAAAGGTTTGGAATTTCAGTCCCTACTGAGGTCATGGGGCCTCCTCCGAAGCTGAGCTAATAGTCCCCTTTCTACCCTCCTGCGGTGGCCGCCTCGGGCCCTGCTAGAAGGGAAAGGCTGGAAGGGGCTTTGGATTACTGCTGGGGTTTTTGTTTTTACTCTTTCTCTTGTTGTTTTTCTTCTTTTCTTTGCAGAAAATTTCATTTCAGTAACAGCCCCAGCTCAGACATTCAAATTCTTGTGGGTTTTTTGTGGATCTTTCCTAGGACTAGGGAATTTGGCGGGAGAAATCACGACAGTGTGGCTGCCCCCCCATCTTCTAAAGATGAGGAAGAAACCAGCTGCTGTGTGTTCTGAAAGAAAATCCCATTTCTCCACCCAGATCCAAGGAGCCAGTACACTAAACTAAGCAAGCATCTTTCCCCAAACTCAGCAGCTCTGTCTATGGTTCGGGTGGGGCACAGAGGGACTAGAAGGGCCGTGAGGGGCAAACACCTTCTGGAGAGGTTGTGGAGGCCATGCCCCCAGTTCTCCTGACAGCTACTGAGGATCAGCAGCAGGCTATAGCCTCCCTGCCTGAACTCCTGGGATCAGGCACTTCCCAGGCATCCTCCACTGGAAAGTCTGGAGGCTAGGGTGGGACTCAGGATGATGGGCCTCTCGGGAAGGGGAAACCAAGAGGCCCAGTGGTAGAAGCTTCTGGAAACATAGACTCAAACTCAACACAGGAAGCACTTCTCCCAGAAAGCACTGTCTAAATACCAGCCGGCTGCCTGAAGTGGGAGGCAGCTCCCCATCTTGGGAGGTGTGCAAGCCCAGGGAAGTGGGTAGGGCTGTGGAGGGCTGGGTTTCTACAGTGCAGGAGGGAGTGGGCCAATGGCTAAGGGGCAGTCCTGCCCAGAGACTGTGAGGGAGGCCTGGGGGGGGCGGTGAAGAACTAAAAAGTGGGGCTGAAGGACCCTTTGACTTACAGAAGGCCCTGGAGGGGGAGACTGGGGCCTTGGACAGAACTGGGCATCACATGCAGCCTAAGCCAACCTCCTGATCATGGGGGAAACTTGGCCATGGGTCTCAGCAGGGCCTTTAGCCACGTGTCAGTGCTTGGCAAATGAGCTGGAAAATGAGAGCGGTTGACAGGCACGGGCCCCACAGTGCCAGGGATGGACTTGCCAGTGGTGGAGGTGTAAGGCCCCTCAATCTGTGTGGTGGGCTCAGAAATGTATGGCCACACAATTAGACTCACAGAGTCGGCACCCTGCCTTACAGCAGGGGGCTGTCACAGGACCTTGTAGGGTATCAGGACAAGAGAAAGTCATGGAGCGCTCCTGCTCGCCTTATGCAGCAGACTACAGGTTGCAGCAGGAATCATAGCCAGTGGACAACACTGATCAGAGGAAGCTGAAGTCCGGGGGAGTCCCCCTTTTGCTGCATGTATCTTACCCCATGCAGAGGGGCCCAGAATGCTGAGGACTGAAGCCCCAGGAGGCCTCGCTCCATCCCACGTTCTTCAGCCCAGAAGCTCCCCAGTAATGGCAGGCTTTTGAAGAAAAGGCAAATGGGAGAAAGTGTGTGCGTGTGTGCATGCATGAGTGTGAGAGATGTCAGAGGGAGAATTCAGTTATGTGGTGTCTTAGTCAGTTTCTTGTAGGTGAGGCACAATACCCGACACAGTTTATGGAAGGAGAGGTTGATTTTGGCTCACGTTTTGGTCCATGGTCGGCTGGTTGCAAAGCAGCACCGAGCAGGAAGCAGAGAGTCCAGGGAGGGGCTGGAATGGAGATAAACCCTTCCAGACCACACCCTGGAGAACGCCTCCTCCTCAGCTTTGAGCCTGGTGATCCAATCATCTTCCAAAGGCCCTGCCTATGATCTGAGGAGACTGTGGGAGGGACATCTAGATATGAACCCTAACATGGGGTAAGAAGCTTGGCACTGGCTCTGGGGAGGAAATGAGGCAGAGAACTGAATTCCGGCTGAGGATGCCCAGAGTTCAGGCCTCTCCCCAAGCCAAGCAAAGTGGGAAGTTGCCATGACCACCGCCACCTCCTCCTCCTCCACCTCCTCCACCACCTCGTCCTCCTCCTTCCTCACTTTCCTCTTCCCTCCTTCCTTCCCTCCTGGGGTCCTCCCCCTACTCTCCTTCCTCCCTCCTCCCTGGACCTCTCTGCTGCTGAGCTGCCACCCTGAGCTGGTGATCAGCCATCTACCCAGGTCTCACAACCCACACCTCCTGTGCCAGCCAGAAGCCCCCTCAAAAAGGCGCCCTCTTCATGCAGACAGATGGAGTGGAGAACATGAAGGGGGGGCGGGCCTTGCAAACAAGACAAGAAAGAGCCTCAAGGCTTCGGGACCCCAAATTTAGACATGGGCACTGAGACCCACAAGTTCTTGGAACAAGCAGAACATTGACTTTTTCTCATGTGACTGTCATTCCCCCACCCTGAGGCCAAGCATGTACTACTGGTGTCCCATGAGGCCAAAGGATTCTGTAACTGCCACTGTGGGACTCACAGATGTGGGCTTACCACGGCTGCGGGCTTGGGGGCATCTAGTGGCCCCTGGTCCCAGCTCCAGATGGATGAGGCCGCCAACCCGAGAGCTGACTGAAGCCTGGTGACCCTAGACTATGTCCACCTGGGAAGCTACTGGTACTTGAGGATGGGGATACTACCTCTGGCCTCTTCCTGTCATCCTGAGTCCCTGTGCTGGGGCAAGGGCAGCCCCCCCAGGGGTATCCCAAGGCAGGGTCACTCTTGTACCCCATGGGCCTCCTGCCCTGGGCTTCTTCCTGCCTTAGGGCCCCACCCTTACTCCCTGCAGTTGAGGGGCGCCCAGAGCCAAGGAGGTGCCACCATCACCACCTCTAACGGCCACAGGCCCCACAAGAACACACTGGGCAGCTCGCCTAGGGCCAGTGAGGGTCCTCAGGGTCTAGCCAGCATTTGCTGGGTGTGGACAGAGCTTGGCGCCTGTGGGATGGTATGGGCCCTGGGGAGCACCTGGCACCCGTGACCTCGGGGTGGGAACGGGCATGGGGACAGAGAGAGGCAATTGCTGAGGTCTTCATTTGTCCCCTTGCTCCAGGCTCTACCATTTCAGGGTGTGCTGGGCCCATGGGGGTTTTTGTGTTCAGGGGAGCGTGTGTCCCCCCACCACACCCCCGACTGGGCACTCCCTCTCTGCCACGCTGCAGGCGACACTGCTTGGTATGGGTGGCGGGGGGCCTCTCAGCCCCATCCCTCTCATCCTGGCCGTCAGTGGAGGAAACAGCGGTGGGATAGCCCCTCCTCAGGGAGACTCTCGGGTCTAGACGGTTTGGCAGGGCCGCAGGGGCTGAGTCACATGTCTGGAGCTGGGGAGGCGGGCGCCAGTCCTGGACCTGGACTCAGAGGCGGCTGGGCCGGGGGAGGGGCCCGGAGCATGCCTTCTACCCAGTGCCTGGCCCATCTGAAGGGGCTCAAGTGGAGTCCGCGGTTTGGACAGGGACAAGGGGAGCTGCAGCCCAGAAGGAGGCTGGGAAAGAGGTCCCTGTACAGACTGGCCCTGCTCCTCTACCCAGCCCAGGGGAGCCTTTGCCCGCCTGACTATCTATAGGATACCTTCTATGGCACCCCTCCACCTCATCCCCATCCCTGCGGAGGCTTCCTTCTTGCTCTTTCTCATTCCTGCTATGGATGCTGGGCCTCAGGCACAGAAGCCCCAAGCTGAGTCAGATCTGAATGGGCTGCTGTCTCTGGGCTCACAAAAGCATCTCCAAGAAGAGCCCTCTAATTGGGACCAGATCCTCAGAGGTTTCCACGGTGCTAACAAGATGCATTTCCTCTGGGGAAGGGCTGCTGGCAACAGGACGGGGGCACAGAAAGTTGGGCCATTTTCTTCTCAAATCTTAAAGGACAGAAGCCCCTTATCCCTCTGCCGACACGAGCTTTGCTGCACACACACATCTGCCCACACGGACACATAGTGGCCCAACGCCGGGTGACACAGACTCAATTCACTTTGGGAGTCCCCAGGGGTGTGTCTTGGGCTACCGAAGCACCACCAGCATAGTAGGCCTGCAGTAGGCTTGTAGAACAGGATTCCCTGGCCTTGGCCCTGAGCCCATGTGCTTTCATGGCACTGCCACCTCATG